CCAGGTTTCCAAGGATTCTCCATACTGCTTTCCATACTGGCTGCACCAACTTGCAATCCTGCCAGCAATGTTTGAGTGTGCCCTTTTTTCCCCCACATCCTTGCCAACACATATTATTGTTTGTATTCTTAATAGCTGCCATTCTGACTGGAGTGAGATGATATCTTAGTTTTGATTTGCATTTCTCTAATTGCTAGGGATGTTGAACATTATTTCATATACTTGTTAATTGATTGTATATCTTCTGAGAAGTGTCTGTTCAGGTCCTTGGTCCATTTATTGATTGGGTTGTTTATTTTTTTGGTGTTAAGATTTTTTAGTTCTTTATATATTCTAGAGATTAGTGCTCTATCTAATGTGCATGTGGTAAAAATTTGGTCCCAAACTGCAGGCTCTCTATTCACCTCACTGATCATTTCTTTTGCTGAGAAGAAACTTTTTAGTTTGACTCCATCCCATTTATTGATTCTTGATTTTAACTCTTGCACTATAGGAGTCTTATTAAGGAAGTCCCAGGTGGGGTGCCAAAATTTGTAACCGAAAGCTAAACCCCTGTCCCCACTGCCAATTTAATAATGAGAACAAGGTTTTGAGGAAAAGGAAAAAGAAGGTTTATTGCTTTGCTAGCAAAGGAGAAACACAGGGGACTCTGGTCCCAAAGGCTGTGACTCTGCTGATCAGGAAGGATAAGGGGGTTTTAAAAAAATTTTCAAGGGTTACATTCCAGTAGGGGGTCCCAGGGACTGCTGATGGTGTGCTAGTATTCACTTGTTAATTTGGGAGATATTCACTTCCCAGATCCTCAGCAAGATCCTCCTTCCTGTAGTGGGTGTATTCAAGGGAAGTTAACTAGGAGAATCAAAGATAACACTGTCTCCCTAATCTTGTTAGGGAGGGAGAGAGGGGAGAAGAGAGAAAAAAACATTTTTTATAAATAAACCTTACAGCAATGAGGGCTACATTCAGAAGGTGAAGGGACCTCACTTTTATTTTTCAAATATTTTATATCTTGGTTGAATTATCAGATGAAAACCCACAAAAGGCTGCCAGTATATGACATTCTGGAAATGGCAAAACTGCAAAGATAGCAAAAAGGGTAGTGTCTTACAGGGCTTAGAAGTCAAAAGGGAGGGATGGATAGACAAAGTACAAAAGGTCTTTAAGGCAATGAAAATACTCTTTAAGATACTATAACAGTGGATAAATGTCATTATACTGTTTAAGATACTATAACAGTGGATAAATGTCGTCATATTGTTTAAATCCCCAGAATGTACAAATGAACTACAGACTTGACTTTGAGTGATAATGATGTGTTGGTGTAGTTTCATCACTTGTAACAGTGAGGGACACTGATAACAAGGAGGCTATAAATATGTGAGAAAACAGGGTACATGAGAAACCTCTGTACCTTCAATTTTGCACCTAAAACTGCCCTTAAAAATATACTTTAAAAAGTGCTATGAAAAACATTTGAATATGTCAGATGGGCATGTCAAAGCTGTGGTCTACAAAGAAAGAAAATGTTAATGGTTCAAAATGTGTCCCTTGTAATAAGTCTATAAAATCACCACCACCACCTTTAAATCTCAAAAAGAACAAAACTGGTTAACATAGCAGAACAATTTGATCTTGGACTCCATCATAAACATCACCAAGGTACTTGCTAGAAATAAAAATTTTCAGGTCCCACCTCAGATCCTGATGAATCTGAGTGAAATACTATACCAGAAAGTCCTATATTACATACCTCAAAATTAAGAAAGATATATGTACCTAATCAGAGAAATAGATGATTGCAAATTACTATTGTTAAGTAATAACTGGTAAAAGCCACTTTTAAAACTTATTCATAAGCAACCCCAAGCTATAAATGAGACTTGTTAAAGAAGTTTAACTACGAATGCATAATTTGAAAGTAAGGCAACATTCACCCTTCAGAAGCAATTTTATGTGTTGGTCATAGTGAAATACCTTTTTGTGCAAAATGAACCAACATTGTCACTCAGATCATTGGAAAGATTCACTTTTCCTACCACAACCCTGGTAATGACAAAAGAAGGATTTCTTCTTACACTAGCCCTGGTGGTCAAAATAGATATATTTTTCTCCTCCTTTCTACCAAGAACAGAATAGAATGGAATGAGGTAAGGAAACAGGCACAAATGGGACAGTATGGAGAAAAAGAGGAACACAGCAAAAGTAAAGGGGGGAAGGCAAGTATGACAGCTCTAACAATTTGTATATCTTCATATCAATAGTGTATATGTTTATATTTATGTATAGGATTTCCACAAGTTGGATTTAGGCTTCCTGCTTTTAAGTTTATGACACTTATAGTCAAAGAATTTCAGAACAAGAGATATGAACATTAAGATTTTCAACTAAGGGGATGAGGTTAAGTAGCTCAGTGGTAGAGGACTTGCCTAGCCATGTGTGAGGCACTGGGCTCAATCCTCAACACCACATAAAAATGAATAATAAAAGGTTAAAAAAAGATTTTCAATTAAAAAGAACAGCATTAGTAAGGTGAAAGTATAATGAGAAACAGGCTATTTACAGTCTCAAAGTATCATCTCACAAGAAATATATTAACAAAGGGAAAAACAATAACTGCATAATAGAGAAACCTGGCAGCAAAGATCAAAGTTAACACCAGTACAGAAACAAATTGACTTCACATGCTTCCTGATATGATGCACTAAGAAAGATCTAACTCTTGTTTTTGAAGCACATATTAATTTAAAATCACTCATCCTTTTTCAGACTATAAGGATCAAGATGGTGAAATATTGTTATACTTCCTTTTCATATGACTATATTACACAGTAAATGATGTGTGATTATATTTAACTACTTAACAGATTTCTTTACAATACCTTTTCACAGTGTAAATTTATGAGCATTAAAAAAATCTACTAGCCAAAAATTAAAAGCCAAGTGAAGTTGGACAATAGTGGCCCACACCTCTACTCCCAGCTACTCAGGAAGGCTGAAGCAGAGGATAGTGAGTTCCTAGCAAGACTCCACAAACAATAACAAAAAAGTTAACAGCCAAGTCAAATATTTCAGGTGTCAGTGGATTAATATATCACAGCTGTTAATCTTTCTGTACACGTTCCTGTTATCCAAAATTGAAATCAGATACAATTACCAAACAATAGAGAAATCTATATTTGTGCCTATAACAATTTCTAGATCTTCTTTTGGGTGTTTTGTTTTACAACTGAAAAGAAAGAATATTTTTTTTTAGCTTCAAGGTCTTGAGTTGGGCAAAGTTGTCTTAAGGTATAAAACGTAAACTATAAAAGAAAAATATTCTTAAATTGGAATTAACCAAAATTATATCTTTTTCCTTTCAAAAAACAACTAACAAGATAAAAAGGGAAACCAGACTGAAAAAAAAGTTCAAAATCACATATCTGATAAAGACCTTATACGCATAGCACAATATACGAAGAACTCTTAGAACTCAGAAATAAAAGGACAACACAATTTAAAAATGGGCAAGTAACATACACTTTGCTAAAGATGATTACAAACGACAAATACACTCATGAAATGATGCTCAACATCACTAGTCATGAGATGAAAATTAGAAGCAACAATGAGATACCACAACATACTCACTAGAATGACTGAAATTTAAGAGAGTGACAATACCAGTAGTGGTAAGGAAGTCTCAGACAATTGCTTCCATATATGCAAAATGGTATAGACACTTTGAAACAGTTTGAACAGTTTGGCAATTTCTTATAAAGTTAAACATAAACTTACTGACGTGACCCAACAATCCCACCCCTGGTGACACAAAAATAAGTACCTCCCAAAATACTTGTACAAGATTCAAAGCAACTTTATTTATAAAAGCCCCCAACTAGTAACAACCTAAAAACCCATCAACTGGTGAATGGATAAACTCTGATATGTCTATATAATGAAGTATTATTCAGCAAAAGGAACTAATGTCATATGCAACATCTTGGATGAATTTCAAAAGTATTAAGTGGAAGAAATCACATACAACTTCATTCATATGAAGTTCTAGGAAAAGCAAAAATATAGTGGGCAGGAAGCCTCTCAGAGGTTGCCACAAACCAGCAATGTAAAGAGGAAACTGACTGCAAGGAAGTAAGAGGAAACTTTCTGGATAATGAAAACATTTCACAGATTATTCTGGTGATGGTGGTGATAAACATACAACTGTATACATTTGACAAAACTCTTTGATCTATAAATTAAGATTGAAGAAACTTACTATATATAAATTTTACCTCAAAGTGGATTTTAAAAGTTAAAAAAAAAAAACCAGCATAAAGTCATGCCTGGGGTGGTGACTTAAAGGGCATACAAAGGAGACTTTGAGTTGCTGGTGCTATTCTATTTCTTGGCTTGGGTGTTAGACACGTGTGTGAGAGTTTGGGAAAGGTCACTGAGCTATTTAGTTATTATGTGTGTTTTTCTGTATATATTTTATTTTAAGAAAAAAGTTTTTTTAAAAAATTAAGGGGCCAGGACCATAGCTCAGCAGTACAGCACATGCTTAGCATGTGTGAAGCCATGAGCTCAATCTCCAACATGAATAAGGAAAAAATAAATAAATAAAACAATGTGTCCTCAACAGTCTAATATTGAAAGGGCTTCATAAAAATAACAGCAATGATTCAAAACTCTAGTCAAGGAAAAGAGTAGAAGACAAGGGAAAAGAATACAAAGTAATCATTACAAGGGGATTCAAAAGGCGGCCATTTGTCAAAAGCCATTTGGAGGCACAGAGAGAGGAAGGAGGTTTGAATAATAATTTAGCTAGATTTTTTACACAGATACATGTCTATGGTTAGGACACAAAGGACTTACCACAAACCTCACTCAACCTAACCTTTTCTTAAATTAGGTTTACTTTATTTTTGTTCCTAGAAATGTTTGTAAATACAAATATATTCCAAACATTTTCATTCCAACATTTAGTTTTCTACCAGGAAGAAAAAAATCTTACTAACCTCCTTCATAAATGACTTGCCTATGCGCACCACTTTTGCAAATAAAATGGGATCGTGAGAAAGGTGGGGACCAAGGTAACAGAACATATTGAATACGTCTCTCCTCAAATCTTCAAAAGTTTCTGCCTGCTTTGGTGCTTTCTTGTTTTGCAAAGCATTAACAGGTGAGCCTTTAGCACCTTTAGGAACGCCAACTCTTTAAAAAGAAGAGAAAAATTATAAATATATACACACAATATCTGCCATTTTAAGTTAAAATGATCATCTAAGTAAGTGAATCTTTCCTTGCTCACATTTTCTTTCTGTATTTTAATCATGCCTAACTTTATTATACCAAATAATTCTTAACTGTAGAAAAACAAAAATAATATTAAGAATAAAATTAGAGTGCAGAGGAGAATGGCTCAAATTAATACCTTAAAAACAGAAATCAGAGAAATACAGATCAAGTAATATTTAACTTACATCAAATGAAACTGTTTTAAATTAAACCTGGCCAGTATAAAGAATTTGGATATGAGAATGGAGAACAAAGGAGGAACACCTCAGATATACTAAAAAATGAAACCAAAAAAGAATATAGATATAACAATACTAATTCATATCAATAAAACATACCCCAAGCTGTATAATAAGAGAATAACATAATAAAAAGGACACCATGCCCAGAGTTCTCATCTTCTGAGTAGGTGTACCACTATGGCATCACAGAGGGTCACTCTATAAGAAAAAACCTTCACGGTCCATGGCCCAGGTGGCACTGAAGGCAGCAGCCAGTAGCTACGCATCAATCTCAATGTTGAAACTTTTGAGGAAGGCTCTGATCTATGGGGTTAAAGCCAGCACTGCTACTAATACTGCTAAGTACCCTGCAACTAGGCTAAAGACTAGAGGACTGTGGCACAGTAACTAGGGATGATAAGAGTGGCTAGACTAGTAATTTCCCAAATAGCAGCCTATATGCCAGGATTGGAGATAAAGAAAGCGGAGTAGCAAAGTCCTCACTCAGAGCCATTCAACCCAGGACAAAGGCATATTCCACTAAGTAAAACTTCAGGAATTCTCTGCCTCTCAAGAAAAGAAGAAAAGTTAATGGATAATGAAGTTTTCACTCTATAGAGCAAACCCAACCCACAAGTTTAACCTATACTTTTCATACTGCATTGCAGCACACATTCTAGAACCCCTGAACTAGATGTTAGAAGTAACTCATTAACATATATCAGACTCATCACTCTGAATAGTTCATATCTATTGAGAAAATGTACTAAAATATATGCTTGGTTTGACAAGACAATATAAATACACAGATATTTTTGGTAATCCTAAACTATTTCTACCTGAATGGTTAGTTACATACCTTCTGTAAAGAGGCTCAATAGTGATATGGATTAGCTTGCAAATAGCAAGGGCTATTAGTTTATGTGAAGCTGCATAGTACGGAGGCATCTGATCCATAATGTTCTGTGCATGCTGCCAATCGCCAATCTTTAACAAGGCTTCCAACAAACCAAGTTTTTGGTTGTCAGGTGGCTAAAAATGAATAGGCACAACGAAGATGCTTAGAATATAGACATGGAGCCAGGTATGGGGGCCCAAGCCTGTAATCCCAGCAACTCAGAAGACTAAGCAGGAGGATCGCAAATTCAAGGTCAACAACTGAGACACTGTTTAAAAATTAAAAATAAAAAGGGATGGGGATGTAGCTCAGTGGTAGAGTCCCCCTGGGTTCCCTCTCCATTGCCAGGAAAAAAAAAAAAGAAGGGGGCAGGGAAGAAAATCAGGATCTGCTTTTCTATTTAGGAAACACAGGCGTTACAGTTTATAAACTTAAAATTTAGTTCTACGTAATGTTATATTGTGCCACAGGGAGCTAGAATTCATTTATCATTGAGAATCCCTTTACGATCTGAGAGGCATTAATATATAATCATTACAATTTGTGATTTTACATGAAATACATGTTAAAATTTTTAAAAGGGCATCCTCTTTTGGGAAGATGCCATTCAGATTTTTTGTTTTGATTGATTCTTTTCAGTTATATATAATTTAAGTATACATTTTGACATAATCACAAAAGCATGGAATACAAATTGCCCTAATTCAGTCCCAAGTACTTCCCCCTCCCTTATCCCCTCCCTCTACTGTTCTTTCTGCAATATATAGTATTTTTTTTTCAATGCATGTCTTGTGGGTAAACTTGATGTTGGGATTCACTGTGATATATTCATGTATGTGAATACAAAAGTTTGGACAGATTCATTCCACAGTTCTTCCCTTTTCCCATCCCTCCTTCCTCCCCCTTAATCCCCTTCACATCTACTCATCTTTCCTCCATCTTGAAATTCCCTCTCCCTTTTATTTTCCTCTGATTAAAAAAAAAAAAAAAAAACATTTCTACAAAATAATTATCTCCAAAATCAAGTTTTAGAATGAGCAAAATTAAGAAATCATGCTTACATAACTTGATTAACTATTATAAGTTAAATTTTATAATTCTAAATGAACAATGCTAGTCTTTTTTACTAGAATAAAATCATATTCCAGGGCTGCAGTTGTGGCTCAAGCAGTAGAGCACTTGCCTACCATGTGTGAGGAACTGGGTTCGATCCTCAGCACCACATAAAAATAAATAAAATAAAGGTATTGTGTCCATCTACAACTAAAAAAAGTTTTTTAAAAAAATTATATACCTTATCTACTTTGTCCTCTTCTTTTTCCTTTTCTTTCTCTCGCTCATCAATTTTTTCAGAAGACAACACAACCATCGTAAGTTTTCTAACAATTTGCTTAGCTTCCACAATTTCTCGTTTGTGTTCATCCATAATGCAATTATCAGCTGGAAGAAGCTAAAAATGGTTCATTAGAATTTCATAAAACAGCTAATAACAACTATTTGCTCACATAAAAAGCAAACAATATCTAGTCTCAAAATAAATATGTAAATTTTTTGATAAATTTGATAAAAATGTAAATAAGTAGTCTACTTATTTGTGACTGTGATTTCCTATCTAAGTTTCACTCAATTCTTGAGTTTAACAATAAATGCAAGCAAAGTGTACCTTTTAGGTACATGAATTTTATACTTTAAAATCAGGTAGCATTTCAAAGTTCCACACCTTCTATCTGGTAAAGGTCCTAAATTACTTCTACAACAGTGATTCTTACCATTAAATTTATTAGTTTACCCCCCAAAAAATAAGGATCTTCTCCATTAAAAATATAACATTTGGGGCTGGGGTTGTGGCTCAGTGGTAGAGCACTTGCCTAGCACTTGCAAGGCACTAGGTTTGATCCCCAGCACCAAATAAAAATAAATGAAGTATTGTGTCCAAATATTAAAATATATGTGTGTATGTACACACACACACACACATACATATATAACATTTTCTTTTTTAAAGATCAAACTCCAAATTAAATGAAGTACTGTATATAGACCAAATTTGGGAGAAGTAAGCTACTGTTGAATCTTTAAATGAAAATTATCAAGTACAAAAATTAATGATTAGACCTTTTTCCTTTTTTTCCCTTTGGTACTGGGGATTAAACTTAGGGTCTCACACACACTAGGCAAGTGCTATACCATTGAGCTACATCCCCAGCTCTTGTTTTTCATTTTCTAAGAATTTTTTTGACCTAAGTCACAAACTAGTTTGTAAATTTTTGCAAAGAGAAATTGTGTAGATCAAATCTCCATTATGAAAAAGGTTCAGGTGATCTGAAGTACAGCCACATTGTATGAGTGGAAGACAGTAATGTAAACATTAAATACAATAACTCTAACAAAGAAAATACAATCAACAAATTATTACTTAATAGTTTCTGGCAGGTACCTATGATGAGCTACAAGAGAATCACTACTACCCCCCAGGAATACATGACCTAATTTAGTAACTAAGACTAATGCAAAGTAAACAATAAAAGGAAAGGTGAAATATTAAATATTGTAGACTCCATCCTGTTATTTGAAAAAAGAGAGGGAGAGAGAAAAGTCATTACGGAATGGTGGAAAGAGGAAAGCAAAGACTTTCTCTCATTCTGTGTGGCAAACACATCCTTATTGCTTCACTTACATGCCTGGCCTATATTCTTCTCTCTTACCTGGACTACAGCAACTGCCTCTAAGGGGCAAACTATATGCTTCTTATAGTTATCTCAATTACTAGTTTTCTATTTTGAGAACATGTTTTTGAGTATAATATAAAGTTAGAACTATTTTGTCTTCCTAGTGAACACAATTTTATTATTATGAAATGATCCTTTTATCTTTTTTTAACCAGAAAGTCTCTTTTTTCTAACAATAATAATTTCTCTGATTTATTTTTCTCACTCTTTTACTTTCAATACTTTTTTATCATTGGGTTTTGGCTGTGTCTCACATAAACAATAAACTGGTTTTTAGATCCCATCTGACAACCTTTGCCATCTTAACAGAAACACTTGGTCTGCTTGAATTTATTGTTAAACAAATCAGTACTAAATCTATCATCATTTTAAATCTTCCATTTGTTATACCAGCCTACCTATATATCTGGCCAATTTTTGATTCTCGGTTTGTAAATCATTTCTCTTTAAATTCTAAATAATTTTAAATAAAGGTATTGTGTCCATCCAAGAGAAAAATCCAAACTCCTGGCTCGGTGCACTAAAAGCCCTTCTTATAGTTTAGGCCCTACCTATAGTTCTCTATCCTCAATCCTTATACATAACACCCCTAGGCTCCAACCACTCTCTCTAAGCTTCCTAAAGGATCACTTGCCTTTATACTCAGTTAATTCTACCTATAGAGCTTGTTACCTTTTAAACCTGAACAACTCCTACTCATCTATCAAGATTTTAGTTCAACATCACTAGTTTGGAAGAGTCTTCCAACACCACCCTGCAACACACAAAGTGATCCCACAGCATTTTGTGAATATCTCCAATAGAGTACTTAATACACAATGCAAATTTTTTTATCTTCCTTGCTAGACTATGACTGCTTCCAAGGTAGAAACCAACTTTTACTAAACATCATAACCACAGTATACAAAAATGGGAAAGGAAGTTTATAAAGATACTTCAAAGTCAGAAAAAATGATGTTAGCTTTGGACTAATTTAAGTCCATAGATATCCTAATGCAAAACCTAATAAAACAATTTTTACACTGCAAACCTGGCTTTGTCTAAACTAGAGGTCTTCTATCACAATCACAGACTCTTCTAAATCTTGGATCCAGCAATAAAAGCACAATAGTAGTCACTTATTACACAGTAAAATCATAAGAGTATTTTTTAAAATACTAAAAAGAAAAATACACTAATGGAGTTCCTCATTTGTCTTGAATGCCTAAGATTAAAGCACTGCAGATAGAAGAAAGAAGTACCTAGATAATTTCACATTTCCCATAATCTGTATCTAGCAGAAAAACCTAAAATCACATTGGGTCAGAACTTTGCCTTTTTCACCATGATATACAACTTGATGATGATTTAAAGAACTGAAACTTCATATCCAACCTTGATTTTTATAGACCATATAATTTCTATTGTTGGTCAAATAATTAAATGCACCACTTTATATAGTACATGCAAAGCAAGAATGTATTAGGGATTCAAAAAAAGACAACTTGCAATCCTAGAACCAAACTTGGAAGTGCTACATGGCTGCCTACTCCTCTTCCCCACCCCTGGGATGGACAACCAAATATTCTTAGCAGCCCACTTGACTTACATGTACATAAAGATCATCTAAATCAATAAGATTAAATTGCAGAAGTACTGCTGCAACTCTGTATAAAGATGATGGAGTCTCCCCATTTGGTTCCTTGAAAAACAAAAGAAAAGTTTCTATTCAGTATATAAAGCACAACAATTAAAATCATATTTTTTATTAACCAATAATAAAAACAATTAGATTGAATAATTCAAGAATATACTTCATTGCTCTTCCTTAGCATACCAAACATCTGAATTTAGGACAAAGATTATTTTGTCAGCATCCCTTTTCATATTCCAACATCTGATGAACAAAAGGAAAACAGTTTCAAAAATAGACACCTTTTACAATGCATGTTAATACTTAAATAAAATCTAACAAGTGAGATTTTTATACTGCATAATATTTTGTCTGCATTTCTGTTTACACGTATGTTTTCATAAATTGCTTTTTCAAGTAATTCTCTCAGTAGACATGCAGATAGATAAGGCCGACAAACTTGGAAGTGCATCGGTATTTGATTTGCAATTTCCCCTTACACTTTTATTTCTTGGGTTATATATTAAGTGTATCTGCTTTCCCACTGACTTCCCCTTTAAAACAAAGTATCTACACAAATTACAGATGGATAAGATACAGAATGGCAAAGTCAATTCCAGGCTAGCCGTGAGGCCCCCACAGAGAAACACAAGGATCTTGGAATGGTGCCCATTTTTAAGATAATTTTTAAACTGCTAGGGTCACAGGAATAAAAAAGTGTACTGAGAATAATAGGCAATACTGTAAATAAAATATAAATGAAAAGCAAAGAGTAACAACACACTATCCTATTATGCTACTCAATAATGAACAGAAAACCTCTGTAGCTAAGACTCCTTCCATAGTTGTGATGGGTACTGTGAATATAAAATATGAAAATAACCAAACTAATACACTCCATTTAAAGAAGGCATTGTTACACTTATTTTTTAAGACAGATAAGACAATCATTGACTTAACAATAGTGTCCTGGTTTCAAAATGATTATTTAGCATCAAACATTTTATTTATTTATTTTTTTTAGAGAGAGAGAGAGAATTCTAATATTTACTTTTTTTTAGTTTTCGGCGGACACAACATCTTTGTATGTGGTGCTGAGGATCGAACCTGGGCTGCACGTATGCCAGGCAAGCACGCTACCGTCTGAGCCACATCCCCAGCCCACAAACATTTTTTAATAAAAACAAATGGTGGTCAGGATATCAAAACAAACTCACAAAAACTTACTGACAACTTCCCCTCTACTACCTGACTTGAAAGCACAAGTACCACTTTAACTATTCCCTTTATCCTTGTTTAATAAACAAATTACCACAAGAAATCACAGACTCAGAGGTGAAATATCAACTCCCATACTCTGATCCCTATATTATTCTACACAATCCCAGTACTGTCCTATTTCACGTTTCCACGTTCTTAAAATACTTCCATGGAATCCTCTGAAATTCATGATCACACTCAGCAAAACACCCTATATTCTGACCTCTCCTCTAAATGTTCCCTCTACCTTGATGCTTGAATAGAGAGCTTGGCTCACTCTGAGAACACCAATGGCAATGGCACAGTAACCCTCATACTATCAGGCCTGGGTTAATGTAGGAGCATTATTTCCATATTTGTTTCCAGTCAGTTCTCCCTCCATCCTCCCTAAAGCCTTTTCAGCTTTGAATTCCATATCACTCACTACCCTTCATTATAGCTATAATCTAATTTCATTCTATTGTAGTTAGAAGATACTTTGTGTGATTTCAATTAAGTATTGTTTTGGTCGGGTGTTGTGGCATACATTTGTAATCCCAGTGGCTCAGGAGGCTGAGGTAGGAGGCTCACAAGTTCAAAGCAAGTCTCAGCAACTTAGCAAAGCTCTGTCTCAAATTAAAATATAAAAAGGGCTGGGATTGGGGCTCAGTGGTTATGCACTCCTGGGCTCAAATCCCAGTAGCCACCACCCCCCCTCCAAAAAAAAAAAAAAAAAAAAAACTTGTTTTGTAATCTGATGGTCTATGCTGGAGAACATCCCATGTACATTGAGAAAAATGTATTCTGTTGTTGAGCATTCTATACATGTCTATCAGACCTAATTAGCTTATTGTTCAAATCTTTTATTTCCTTACTTTTGTCTAGTTGTCTTAACCATGAATGAGAGCAGGATATAGAAATGTCCAATGATGATAACTTTCCTCCAATTCTATCAATGTTTTCTTCATATACTTAGGAGACCTGGTATTCAGTACATGTATGTTTATACAACTATTATATCTTCATGATATGTTGTCCATTTTATCAATATATAAAGTCCTTCATTATCTTGTAAATATTTTTGCCTTGAAGTCTGTTTTGTCTGATATTAATCAACTCATCCCAGCTTTTTCCTCAATACTGCTTACATGGAATATCTTTTTCAATACTTTCACTTTCAAATGTTGTATCTTTTTGCTATAAACTGAGTTTCTTACAGAAAACACATTGCTGGATCACACATTCTGCCAAATTCTGCCTTAAATAAAACTATTTGAAACTATTTAAAGTGAGTTTTAATCTATTTACATTTAAAATAATTACTGATAAGGACAAACTTCTGGCATTTTCCTTTTTATTTTCATACTTTTTTGTTCCTCATTTCCTCCATTACTGTCTTCTCTCATGTTTGATTACATTGTATGTGCCATTTTTATTCCTTCTTTTCCTTTTGTTTTTTTTTTCCCCTTAGTGATTACCTTGGATATTGCAATTAATATTTAAACTCAGAACAACCTAGTTTGAATAAATACCAACTTAGCTTCAATGGTATTTAAAAAGTCTATACATATACATCTCTCCCTCCCTCCTTCCCTCTTTAAATTGCTAGTCACAAATCGCATCTTCATACAGTAGGCCACTTACCAGATTAATAATTATTGTTTTATGTCTTTTTAAAAATCATACAGGGAAAAAAAGAGGAGTTATAAACCAAAAGTATAATAATACTGGCTTTTATATTTTACTTATGTAGTTACCTTTGCCAGTGTTCTTTATTTTCCATATGGCTTCAAGTTATTGTCATTTCAGCATGAAAGACTGTTTAACATTTACTATAGGGCAGGTCTATTAGCAACAATATCCCTTGGCTTTAGTTATCAAGATTTCTCACTTTTCAAACATAGTTTTGCAAAACAGAATTCTTGACTTAGTTTTTTCCTATATGCCATTATATCTACCTTCTGATTTCCATGGTTTCCAAAGAGAAATCAGATGTCAAATTTACTAAGGATCCTTTGCACTGATGGGTATCTCTCTTACCATTCACAATATTCATTTTTTACCTTAATCTTTTAAAAACTTTAATGTCTCAGTGTGGATTTTTAAGTTTATCCTGCTTGATCTTCACTGAGCTGCTTAGATGTGTTGATTCATATCTTTCATCAGATTTGGGAAGTTTTCAACCATTATTTCTTCAGATATTCTTTCTGTCCCTTTCTCTCTCTTCTCCGTCCAGGATTCCCATGATGCATATGTGGTACATCTCACGATATCCTCTTAGGCTCAGTTAATTTTCTTCATTTTTCATCTCTTTCTGCTCCTTATACTGCATAAACTCACTTGATTTATCGAGTTGGCTGACCACTCCTTATGCCTGCTCAAATATACTAGTGAACCACTTTGGTGATTTTTCCATTTGAATTACTGTACCATTCAACTCCAGAATCTGTCTTTGGTTCCTTTTCATAATTTTTATCTTTTTATTGTTATTATCTATTTGGTGAGGCAGCACTCTAGTTTTCATAAGCATGTCTGCATATACTGGTTTAAATTCTTTATTTGGTATGTCTGGGCTTTCCTCAGACACAGTTTCTAATAATTTCTTTTGTCTTATGAATGAGCCATACTGTCTCTCCATGCTTAATTAGTTCTTACTGAATACTAAACATGTTGAATGTTATGTGACAACTCTAGAAATCAGATTCTCCACCCCATCCCCAAAGATTTGTTGATAGTGCTTTGTGTGGTTTATTGATGTCATTAATAGTGACTTTGCTAAACTTTTTGCAAAGTCTATATTCTTTGACATTTGTGGCCACTGAAATCTTTCTTTTAACTTAGTATCCAACTAGTAGACTGACAATTTTCTTTAAGATCTGTAGCAAACAAATGGGGGAGGAACACTCCCAGTCTTTGCAGACTGATACAGTGTAAAGGCACTGTTTTGCCAGGCCATTTACAATTCTGCCTTAGTCTTCACATCCTGTTTGATCACAGCATACCAACCAAAGCAGAAAGCTTAGGGTCTTCTTAGGCCTTTTCTAACCATGTGTTTAGCTCTGGGCACAGCATGGCCTTCTCAACTTCCTGGTATATGCAAAAGCTTTATAAAAGTCCTTATTTTCCCATCTATCTCCTTTTCTAACTTCTTCCCTCTCAGGCTTCTAAATCTCCCTGCTATTTGTCTCAATTTGCTCTAGGCTGCTACAGCCAATAGTTGTGCCTTCAAATTGGAAAAAGCAGCCCCAGCCATGGGAAAACACTCAGTTAAAAGAAACAAAGGCAGGCCACCAAGCTGGTCCTTCAGGGAGCAGCCAGACAGATGGAGACCCATAAATACAATTCTTTGAACATAATACTTTGCTCCCTCTGGCATTAGCAACCTGCACCAGAAATGTAGGATTCTCTCATTACAATTACTATTGATTTGGATATGGAGGAGAGTAGGCAGACAATTAAAATGTCATAACACTCCTTTACCCCCCAGTTACAGCTTCATTCTTCAAAAACCTTTCCCTGGATGTTATAAGATTTTTTTACTAGATTTTAAAACTCTGCAAAGTTGACAGTTTTTGCCAGTTCGTTAGTTGTTTCTGTAGAGGGACAGAGCTCTAGATTTCCCTACTATGTTATTTTAGGTCATATCCTGTCACTGCCATCTTAAGACCTCTGGGTTAATTCTCTTTCATTTCTGACTTTCCCTTCACTTCTGACTCACTATCACTCTAATTCTACCTTTTATTGTCATTAAGACAAGAGTCTCACTGTGTTGCCCGGCCTTGTCTTGAACTCCTGGGCTCCAGTGATCCTTCTGCCTCAGTGTCCCGAGT